GTTAAGGTGAACACTGCTGATAATTTGAATTTGCTGAGAGCTGAGAGAAAAGAGAGGAATAAAACCGATACTCAATAGAAGACTCTCCGAGCTTTCGTCTGTATGGACTGACAGAGTGTTTCATCGCTCACCATAAAAACTATGAAAGGTATCGGACTAGGTAGTAAATGTTTAAAATGAAGTTTTAGAAATTACTCGGGAAATCAATTAATGGACTGAAACATAATTTTCTGGATATATATTACCATCGAGACGAGGTAATATGTTTAACCATTATACCTTTTATATTTAATTTGTAAATTATTTGTTTCATGTAGTAAAACTTTGTTGGTAAATTTTTTTTTTCAAGACCAATTGTATATTATATTCTACGAACCTATTAATTTGAAATAATTCAAGTATCTAAACAAACTTTTTTACGTATGAAGATATGTTTTGGCGACTTTTTTTATTCATCAGCCGGATTTTCTTTGCTATGCCTTGAAACAATCGTAAATTCGTTTGTCATTTAAAACTATTCAATTAATATTCATTTTACATAATAAAATTATGATCACTGAAATAAATTTTAATTTATTGGCAACAAACTTAATAATGTATGCACCATCAAGGAAATTATTTCCGTTTTTATTTGTGTCATTGACAGTATGAATGTTACAAGTTTTTATCGTACTAATATAACAGCTAAAACGAAACACGTTAGTTTTGGTCATTGAAATTATTTTGCAACTCACAGTAGCAAATAAAAAATTGAACAACTTCGTCAGTTATAAAACAAAATATAACTTCAAATATAATCGGTTGCTGATGCCATGGAATGTTCTCAAAGGTTCCCCATAATTTCTAAAGATTTGAAAATTAATATTTTTCTTATTTAAGGCATTGCAATAAGTTTTTAGATAACGGTCAAAGATAGTAAAATAAGTTCTTATTTCACACTTTCCAATGTCGTTAAAATTTAAGATGTTTAATGAAAGATATATGAGTTAGGTTGTACCTTAAAGTAAACTGTCTAAAGGTGCTGTGTTTACATCGGATATATTTTTCACCTCAACATTTCTTTACCATTTGAGGGTGATATTGTTGATATTCAATTGTCTTTCACTCTTGTGCGAGGGCAAGATAATAAAGAATTGTTTTATTTAAGAGCACTGTGCATATTTTTACATTTTGATGCATTATTTCAAAAGGCAGAACTATTTTGAACATATTATACACACATTATGTTGTTGGAATGGTAACTATATTTCTCAATGAAGTTAGAATTGTTAACATTAGATTTAAGTATCTGCCTGTCTGACTAAAAAAATCAATTTAAAATGAATCAGAAAAAAAAAGTTTTTAGGAAATATATGTTGGAATTATTTAATTAATATTTATCTATAATATGAATGATTCATAAATCACTCAAGGTTAAGACAATGTAATTTGTTATCAGGAATCAATTATGCAAATGAACGTATGCAGGACGCAATCTCGTGTGTTATATTTGCCTAAATGGTGTTGAAATATACTATGGCCCAAATTATTAAGCTACTGGTTTGTAAATAATTAACGCAAGTGATAACGGAACAATAAATAAAAAATGTTGTTGTTTTTGATGTTGATGTTTTCATTTACAAATTGTGTTATTTACACTTTCGTCGGCTAGCTTCTTTATTCAAGTTTATGTGATATTTTCCCAATATTCTATTTAAAAAATTTGCGCATTAAATGATTTTCAATATAATTCCAACTCTCTTTAAAAAAGGCAAAACAATTGTGTCGACGGATTAGGGCTGTGTTTATTCCTACAAATACAGATCAAATAGTTGTGTTTTTATGAAAGAAATCGAACTTTTATATTCCATACAATGAGCTGTCATTTAATATTGACAAAAATGTTCATTTTGTTTTTTCTGTTGTAGTAACACTAAGTGAAATTTCGTATTAAATATTGTCATTGTGCTAAGCCAACGCTACATCACTTACACCTTATACTCCTTTATTATCATGTAGCTAAATATATACACAAGTGTCAAGTGAATCTATCAACTTATCAAGTTATTTTGACCAAAATTTGAAATAATGCAGTATTGTATTTTTATAGCGCTTACCGACTAGAATTACCCTTGAATAACATCTGTAAGATATCGCGATATATATAACAAGTTAGTCATTATATTGATTTGTCAGTTTAATACTTTAAACAAATATCTAAGGCATTACATTTTTCAAAAGCACGATTTGGTACTGAAAGAAATTGTAAAAACAAAATAACCATGATCTTTCTGTGCGGAAATTAAAATGTTGGTTTTATCTTAGATCAGTTTTAATGTTTACATTAAATGTCATTTATTTTCCTCGATTTGTAATAAATCTGATTTTGTTTGAAGCTTTATTCCAGCATTAAACCTTGATCTGCTAATAAAGAATTGCATACAATAAAATAGAAGTTATTTTATTTCGTTGAGTCTTAACGCAACATATGCTGCGCTTAAAGAACCTTAAGAAAAGTGTTTATCTGTTGAATTTGTTTGAATTATTCTTTAAAAGTCAACCATTTTCAAAAAATATTAGCATTATCGCAGTCCATTACTAGTGAAAAAGAATATGAAATAAAAATGATATATTTTGGTATAAATTTAATACGAAATGAAGATAACATTAACAGAATCGAACTTAAATCAATTTTGGATAAAGATATCATAATCCTCAACGGTCCTAGTACCGGTATTACATTGTTAAAAACTTAATCTATTTCTACTAGGTCAATACTCTTGCCAAGTATTACATATGTTTAAATCCACGTATAACTAATTAAACAAGCAGTATCTTATTGTTTAATTTGTACTCATTTAAAAACGTATGGAGTCATACAAGTTTTTATTAGGCAAATTAATATCCTAGACATTGTCCAATAAATCATTGAATGAACAAAATGTTGCTTTTAAATAAATATGTCAGAAAACATATTTATTTGTAAAGTGCATGTTTTGTCCTTGATCTCAAATTGAAGACGGAGCGAGATTGACTTCGTTAGAAATTTAGACTAAACACTAAATGGTGAAAAAACGCCTGCTTTATCTGTAAGAAATAGTTTGTTTACAGAATGTAGAGTTTTCTTGTAATTTTCTGAGGTCATTTAACTAAAAGGCATGGTGTGATAAGACCTTTCAAACGTGACATCATGTCAAACACAAATTATTAAAGATTAAATCAGCATTAATTGTGTAAAGGAAAATCTGCCAAAGTACATTCAAGGACAAGTCATGTCACAATTTATCTAAACAAAAAGATTAAACATCGACATGAAAAGTAAAATATATATGGACACAATTTATGCATCTTTGATTCGTGCTGCTTGTACTAGAATCTTAATTATGTAATGGAGCTCTCTCTAAGTTCATAAATATAAATAGATATTAATTCACAAAAAAACACCTTAGTTCTTTATATTTTTAGACGAACGTTACCGTATTTATTATTTATGTTACGCAAAATGTAAACTTTCTTGGACAAATTCACAGTAACATGAAACATGTAACGCATGAAACATGTAACGTTATCAAACGACATTTAACACATTCTTCAAAAAGTGTTGAATTGTTGAAGTTTCATTAAAACTGTATATGAAGCTAAATATTGTATTCGCTAAAATAAAGAAAATTTAGCTTAATGGAAATGACGTCAATTTTTAATAACAAAACTCTAATGATACTTTTATTTTCTATGGAGGAAGATTCACAAGAAGGAACTTTAATATTTATCGAATTCTCTCCTTTAAAAAATTCACAAAAAAACAAATGTCATATCAAGTTTCATACTTAGCACGTAAAGTCATTACATCATTATTTTCTCACTTTCTTCAAACTATTTTAGTTGTTAATTACAATTAGTACTTTCAGAGGTGCTTATATGTGCGGGTTTTAGCTACCTTATGTCAAAGAACGTGCTAGAGATCTTATGCCACAAATGTGATCTTTACTACAGTGGCTGGTGAACAATATTAATGTCAGCTTAACTCTCTGGAATCCGTTCCTAGAAAAACAAGCATTCAGCAATGAGTGTCCGGAAAGAACGGTATGCCCATGACGGGCTTTAAAACCAAGCAGCTAGCGATTTTTTGATCGTACATCACCTGTATATGTGTCTAATTTCTGAAACCAGTTTCTGATTATTACATCGTATATTTCCCATGAGCCTGGAAGAATATGTTTAGAATTTAATTATGATTCCATTTATTAAAGAGAAATTGAGAGCCAATGACCAAATTGATTTTCAAATATTAAAGATTACAGTCGCTTACTGTTCTTAATAAATTTCTTTAAAACATTTTGGAATACACAGCCAAAAAAAAAAAAAAAAAAAAATCTTTTGTTTAAATAATTTGCTGCTTTCTCGTATTTGGCGGTTTAAATCCCATGACGAAGTTTGGTCCTTTCTTGAGAGAAGGCTATATGCTTAAGGGGAGGTATGTGTCTCTTCTCGGGTTCTTGCTTGTTTTGCCTGAACAAATGTTTAACCTTCTATATTGAAACGACACAAACTACTGAAACAACATTTAGTTAACTCAAACAGTTAAAAAAGGAAAAAAGGTGGTAAAGCCAATACCACTGTAAGTGTAAAATGTTCAATTGGTAACACGTTAGTAAGTATAACGTTGATATGTTGAATCCTTTCAAGAACAGAAAGAAGAATAAAACCGATATTCAATTGGAACTAGTTTGAACTATCGTCCTAAAGGCTTTAACATTTATTCATTCTCTGTTCATAAATAAACAAAAAATACTGAAATTTTACAAGGTGTTGTGGGTAAACGCATATTAGGGAAATCGGAATCGTTAATTAAATTGCATGCGTTCTAAATAATAAATTTGTGCTTGTGATTCTAAATGATATAAAACAAATTAATCTCGTTTCATGTGAGTGTTTAGTAGCACTATGGCAGGTAAGATTAGTAAAATCATTTAAGACAAAATATAATCACCGCATTATTGTGTAGTATTCTTGTTGTTAATAATCAAATAAAAAAGAGATAAAATCTATAAGGCATGAAATTGTAATGAAAACACCAAAAGGTTTTACAAATGATTCATCAAAAATGACATGAGGGACAATATTAGACATAGCAAATAAAAACGTTGTATTTAAAGAAAGAGTCCTTCCAAATGGCATCCAAATGATCAGATATGTTGTTTTTCATTTATATTGTATTGAATAAATGGATATATAAATACACATTTTAAACGCAACAAAAACGATAACATTACTTTGAGAAAAGTTTAAACAAACAAATTTAGATATTGTTTAAGATATCACGCACTTTGATTGTACATAAAAGACTGTTTTCAATAAAAGCTGAAATAAATCAATTCTTTGACAATCTTTGATGAGTTATAAGTGATGTACAAGTGTCTTTCTGCTTTGTAGTTTAGCTTTGAAGTTCATCAATATATATTGCAATACAAGTAGCGTAAAATTTATATGCATTTGCTGCCAGCCGAAATGTAACGAATCAAAACTGTTGGTTAAATTATGCTTTAAAATTGGATTATCATTTTGAACATTTTGGTAAAACTTCCTTTTAAGTACTATTAAAATTGAATATGTTTCATGAGGATATATTTACGAAGTAATATAGCTGTTGTATGATATTTTAATTATAGTCAAAATCCTTAATTAATAATTTTCAAAATGCGAAGTTCTAAGTAATGATGTATTATATTGTAATGGTATTAACATCTACGTTTTTGTTTCGTTTATTTGTTGCTGTGGTTGTTCCGTAAAGATAGATTCATGTCATCCTTATTACATTTTATGACTTTTACCTGACACACAATATTTACATTTCGGCATTATGTCTTCTAAACATTCCAAATTGCTTATTGCAATTGAAGTCTGTTTCACATGTTCAAAAATTGTTTTTCATTCCCTAACAGCATAACGTTTAATGCAGTTTAACCCTTGTATTCAAGTGACTGTCCTCGAGAAAGAACGTTTCATTAATGATTTGTCGGCATTTCTAAAATTTGTCATTGAAACATTTTGACAAATGCATTGCAACCAAGATTTGTCAATCCAAGTATTGTTGAGGATTTGTAAAAAGTATTTTTGCTTTTTTATTAAATGAAAAATAAAAAAAACTTTCTCCAGGGAAATAAAAGTGTTGTTTTGTCAAATAAATTGAATTATATTTAATTAAATTTGTGTTAATGAAGTTGATTTAATTAAGTATGTGAAGTTATTGGATTTGGTCAATGTTTTGTGCCGAAACTAATTAGGCATCATCTTAAAAAGTCATCTTTATTGCAATGAAAAAACTTAAAGGAATAAAATGAGTATAGTGTTGAAATTTTCTTAAAATACATTTCTTCACCAAACGATCTCTAGAACCTTTGAAAGTTTTACAACCATCTCCTTTCTAGTTATTCAAATCGGTCACTGTCATTTTTCTACCATGTTATAGCATAGAATAGTACATGTATATCTACAATATTTTAAATTATCTACCAAACTATTTCTTTATTCTTGTTATTATCGTTATACATATGAAACAAAGATACACTTTGCTGATCTATAGATGATACATTACCCGTCTGTTGATAATACAATTCAAATTAAAATCATCAGACTGTTTAATCTCATTAAGAATTGTTCGGCAAACTGACATAAATGTGTCTATAAAGCAAATTACTTTCAAATTTACAACAAGGCTTTACCGCTATCTTTCTTTGTGCTTTATATATGTGATAAAACAGCTTACAAATTTAAATTATTGGTTAAATGGTTATTTAATTTTAAGGTTTGCTGCCTGGGGAAATTATCACCTTTTCATCCAAAACATGTTACTGTTACATTTAATATAATTTCTGTTTTTTAACTATGCATACGTATCAGTCCTATTATTTTGATTGTGTCTAAAATCAATTATATTATGGTTAAGATTTTTCCTTTTTGTTTAATTTAAAGAAGCATATATTTCGGCAACGTCTTTCCTCTTATATGATGTAAATCTTTTCCAGGAAACCTAAACTTGTGAAACATAGATATTAGTTATATAGGATACATTCACATTATTAAGACGAGCTTACTGCTTTGTTTCACATAAAGAGTATAGACATGTTTAATTGCATACCTGCACCAGGTTCATTGTATAGCTAAGTTCATAAATTGTGTTATCTCATTAGATAAATGTGTTCTGTGTGTGCTTTTATAATCGTTAGCATCAAATAATATGTTATATAATACGAAAGCTACCATATCATATATAAATATCTAATAATATTTAATTAAACGAATATTCATCTTTTTTCAGACTTAAGCAGACTTTGGGAGGAAACTTATTTTAGTCGACATAAAACCTACTAATAAGAGAAAAGTGTATCGAGTGTCAGCATGGCAGAAATAAACACGACAGTCGTACCATTTAATTCTACATCAAGTTTATATGAAAATAAATCCCAGAACGGCAGTGATGTTGACTTAGAAGAGGACCTGTATGAATTTGTTTCTGTATTTGTCCCTTTATTATGGGGAATATTAACGGTTGTGGGAGCTTTTGGTAATGCTCTGGTAATTTACACGCTCGTAAGACATGGTGATAAGAACGCTACAAATTACTTTGTGATAAATCTGGCTATTTCGGACTTTGCTTTTGTTGTAATAGTCGTACCTTTCACAGCTACGCTTTATGCACTTCCAGAATGGATATTCGGAGATGGAATGTGCAAGATCACTATGTACATGATTTATGTAAGTTATATTTTCCAAAATAATAGCGATAGCTTTTTATGCCTAAAATGAAATAGTACATATACCACCTAAAGAACGTCCCAAAACGACAGAATTGAAAATGTTGTAGGCTTCGCTTAATTGAGTCTTAGTACTGGTTAATGCAAAATATTGTCCATATCTCTTGTTCCTGTTTAAGCATTATCAAACATTTGAGCATAATAATGGAGAAATGTTGATTTAAAAAAAAACATCCAAAGATATATTAAAACGTTTATCCCCGAACAATTCCTTATCTAATTCATAGAATGATACGAGTACGTCAGTTGTTTAACTATTAAGCCACAATTAAATTTTAAATATGATGATGACGCGATTTTGTGAATAAGCTGTTGAAGGGAATACAATACACTTCTCGGATCAATTGCTGTATTTTGATAATCCGAATTTGAAGCATTCCTCGGTAACTTCAGTCATTTGTAAATCCAGCAACATGGTAATTGTAATTTTCAAACGCTGAATTAAGATATGGCACGTGCCATTCTTTGAAAACCGTTGCCAAAATATAAGTTACTTTTGCTTGTTACATTTCTCTTAAATGTAACTATATTTAAATATGATCACTTACCGGGTAAAGAAAACAAAAAATGATTAGTTAAAGACTTAAAGAGTTAATTTGAAAACATAATTATGTGTTATTGTCATTTTGACTAAACGCATGTTATTTTTGATATATAATATCGTGTGATTTCATATTCCATTTTCATAACGTTAGAAATTAAACATGACGCGGGCCATTTATTTTTTTCATAACTTGTGAATATGTGCATGAACACCTAGTGAGAATATCCATATATATGTTTACAATTGCAATTCATTGATAGGTCTCATTCCTTACATTCTTAAAAAAAAATCAGTAAAAGTACGTGCTCGTTTTATATACTGCGAAACGATATAAATCGACAACAACTTACAAAACAAAAATTGATTTTATCATAGAAGTTACGCATCAAAAAATAAATGATACCGAGTAATTTGACACAACGTTTTATCAAACAAGGTATATGATTAATCATTAATTCGTCTTACTGAGTAGGAAATCACAAAGATAAATGAACTTTCGTGATCCTTTAACATTAATCTCGTTATATTCGCAATATGTTGTTTATTTTATGCTGTCACGTCATAAAATACTGAACCTCTTAATTGTACTCTAATAATGTGGAACTATGTCAGAATAAAAGCTTCATAAGAAATTAATCACGCTAAATTACTGAAATAGAGTACAAATACAACAGTAAATTTGTATCAAATATGTTTATGAAAGTAAATATATATAATAAATATTTAGGATTACTGCAATATATCATACATATATACTATATCTCCAGTATTGCGGTTGATAAATTACTCATTTTGTGTCTGCCTGAAAAGTACCGACATTTTTTTATATTCCTGAACAATTTCCTTGTTGAAATTTGCATTAGGACTTTGAAACGTATTGTTATCTGTCTGAGATAATATCATGTTGTCTAAGTACCAAACCGACAAATTAAGAACGAATATACGAAAATAAATGTTACAAAAATTAAATATTAAAGAATATAATAAAAAAGATCAGCAAAGAAAGGCGGCATTCAGTGTAAACTGAACACAATGAACAAAAAGAAAGTTGACATGTACAGAAGACAATAGTAATACTTACTCAATTTAAATGCAAAACTGACAAAATCTTAAACAGATAACATACATTTCTTTTTTTAATGAACTTATTTAATGACATAATTTTTGAAAGTCAGAACGAACGACGCAAATTAATAATCAAAACATTTCTTTTTAACATTGAAATAATAATAATAATAATAATAGTAATAATAATAATAAAAATTGTAATAATAATGATAATAAGAATAAGGTACGGATTAAGATAAACTTATATTTATCAATTTTCATTCTCTCAAACATTGATTGTCATTAAAACTTTGCTTAGGGTGATCGCTTTAATAAAAAAATAATTGAAAATAGATGTAAGCTGCGGCAGGTGATGGGCATATTTAACACGAAAGCTGCATTGAAAGCGATGTTACCTGAGGCAAACTATAAATAATAGCATCGGTACATTAATCATGTAGTATGGAGCAGGTGTTTGCTCATATATCTATGCAAATCACGTGACCTGTTCTATGTCGCGGAAATTAAATGGGACAGGTAAGGGAGGAAATGGGAGCTTAATTTACATGTTACTGTCATAATTCCAATAAGAATATGATAAGAGCACCTTGTCAGACCCCCTGCCGGAGTTTATTTCCATCCATATCAACAATATAGACAGGTATAAAAAATATTCAATCAATATACTTAAGAGACATAATGCCTATCCAACTGTAAAAGGTTAGTGAACAGGTAAAAATAAAAACTGCTGGACAATTTGACCTAATTGTCTTCAATTTTATATTTTTACTAAAAAGAAGAACAATCTATAGGTCCAACGTAAATTTCAATACAAAGCCTTCAGTATGTATCGGTAACTCTTGCTAACGCTAAGTATTAAAACGAGTCGGCAGTCCTTTTTATAATTAAGATGGTTTTGTTATTGTATCATAAACATTTTCTATTATAAATTATTAGTCAAACACTATTACAAAAGCTAATTTTTTGAAGTATATTACTAATTCGACTGAACTTGACAGTGAAAAAATAAGCATAGTGTCACTCAATTTGAAAGGTCTGACCTGCCTGTGTGAGGAAAATGGTTAAACTTGCCATAAAATAACAAACTTGATTCTCGAATTTACAAATTATTCTGGTTATATTGTTCTCTTTCCATACGTGAATTGGCAACAATTTATCTAATGCCGTATATTAACGACTGTGAAGTGGTTCGAAGTTATAAGATAATTTCGCAGATAAGTCATACGAAAATATTGTTTTTCTTTCTCGTCAAACTTTTTATTTGTATAATGATCAGAAACGGTGAAGACAACATATTTACATATACATGTACTTTGGACAAGTTGTGAAATAGTCTTAAGGTTCTGTCATTTTATTTATAACTGGGTTATAGAATAAGTTGCTTTAAAGCCGTATTTATATGACTTAGAAACAGCACAGCTATTTTCACTAATACAAAAATAGTAAATTATCAAATGCAACATACAGATGAATAAACCTTTATTGTGTTTCCCTTAAGGACTTTAAGAGTAAATAAATTAAATTTAATGTAAGTGCACTTATAGCCAGATTGTTTGTTTGCACAGATGAAGCCAATTCATAAGTTTAAAAAGTAAATTATCTTTGCTAACATAACAATAAAATAGAATGCAACTGTTGAATGCAACATGACGGCTTCAGACACGATTTAACATTCATGCTTCGAAAAATGTGTTTGATATTGTGTATGTATTCATTAAAACTAAATGTCATTTTAATAGATACTTACTACCATTTTGGCAGGAAAATAATGCTTGCTAGCCAAAATAACTGTATAATTCCAGGTGCATTTTAGTTTTAATTGCCCCCTGATCAGGTGCTCCTCTTCTGCCACTTGAATGTTTATTAGTATATATGATAAAATGTATCGGGTATTATTTCAATAGCACATTCTTTAAAACGCATAACGTGATTTGGAAAACAATTTCTCCTTTAATTAATTTTCGTATAAAGATATGGTATATCATTGCCACATGCACAACATCTGCCTGTGTACATGAAAAAAATTCAGAATAAAAGAGGTTAATTACAACAACACTTACAACGTTTTTCGAAAAAAAATCCACATAGATCTTCAACATATACATTTCCATTTATTATCTTACACGGACACCTGTGTCTTTTTTCTGGGCAATCTTCTTTAATTGATATTTTATCTTAATTTATACATGCATGTTTATCACATAGTGCAAATTAATATGTAAAAAAATGTTCATTTCAGTTTTTATATAAATTGTTGGTTTAAAACAATTTTGATTTACTATTGATAGAATAACTTTGTAGAAAAACGATTATTTCATTAATGGCATTAAAATAACAGTTTTTATGTCCTTAAGTAACATTTACTCGTATGCTTGACAGGCAGTTTACTTGAAATATATGTATACTGTATATTTACATGTCTATATGAATAAATTCATTCAGTTTATTATAATTATTATGATATCTTGTATTTCTGTTTTTATACAGAAACTTAAAAACTTTAATTTAAAAGAGGTAGTACATCTCCGCAAAATCAATTGCTGAATGATTGATTGTAAGGGTTGTATGTTCAAATCGCGTCTCTAGAAGCTTACCAATTATTGTTTATATTCCTGGCTTGTTCCCGATGTAACTATGTTGCTGTTTAACATATAATTTAAATGGCATTGATGTTTGAGTTAGTTAAATTGTACTTTACACATGACAGGTAACACTGCACGCAACATGTCTCACGTTGATGGCGATGACGATCGACCGATACTGTGCAATCGTTTATGCCGTCCAATCACGAAACTGGAGAACAACACAGGTCTCTCTAATTGTTTGCCTTATAGTTTGGTTAGGTAAGTTTTTATTGTGCAACTATTCTTTGTTGATATCGTTTTCTTCAAATACTAAAAACGTTTCTTTTTTGTAAGTGATTGAATTGATTTTATGTAAGTATTTTATGCTTTGTTGGAATTGTGTTAAAGTTCTACAGGAGTACCAATACGACAGATATTTTAAAACCTGTAAATCATAACGGGTTAATTATCGAACACATTTACACATATGTACGCTTAATTGTTTTCGGTCTTAAAATTATTTGATCAAATTGATAAAATGTCTGAAAAATAATAAACATACGTATTAGCCTTTATTGCATACTAAAATGTTTTTTTTAAATTGTGTGTTTATCATTTTCTTTTAACATATCCACAGTGTCATTTGTGGTATCTCTTCCATTTGCGATTTACTTCCGGACGGTCACGGATGACAGAGGTATCACATATTGTATGGACCAGTGGCCAAACCCGCAAGAGGTTTATGGAAAGATTTCAATTATTGTTGTAGTGTTTACAACATATGTTGTTCCACTTTCTGTCATCATTTACAGTTATGCCATGATTCTGAAGACTTTGTGGAGGAATAAAATGGCATCTGGTGTAAGTAAATGAGGTGAAATTGAGGAAAAGGTTTTGAGATTTGAGTGTTTGATTATGTAACATTATACTGTTTATTATGAAATCGTTATACATATAATCCGGGTCAATCTTAGGTGCTAAATTGATGTTGTTCAAAATATCAACCGTGCGATCAATTGATTATGCAATGTTTATATTTATATTTCTGTATCTTAAATGGAAAGTAATTCACGCATCAAAGAAACGACATATATGACAAAACAAAGACAAAATCACGTAAAATGATTATATGTACTTACTTTTTTATTTTTTTTGTTCTTTTGATTAAATGATAAATATGCCAGCCACTGATGTTTAGCAATAATGTGCTCGTTTAATAAACTACAGCTTAAATCACGGGATTTGTCAAACACAAGCCCCTGCTTTTCTACATAATACTTGTTAGAAAATGTAATACAACATACAGATATAATTTTATTAAAGATTAATGCAAATCATGAATTGAGTATCATTCAGTTGGTATCAATCAGGGAAACTTCTTTTGTGTAAATGTAAGGATTCGAAGTTTAAGAAATGCAGCTTTTGTCTGTACCTGTTGATGAAATACTCATGTATAACAATTTTTTTCTTTTTTTAGCAGAATCATAGTAACGGAATTACTTCAAAGAAAGCCCAACAGCAGGAGAAGAGGCGGAAACGTGTCACGAAACTTGTTGCGTCCGTAGTTATTGTATTTGCCCTATTCTGGCTTCCAATACATATTTTGAATATGTGGTTCAAACTGGACCCCGAAAACTTTCCGAAAACACCTACCATGTTAATGTTTAAGATTGCGTCACATACTCTGTCTTACGCTAACTCTTGCGTTAATCCATTCGTGTATGCTTTTCTAAGTGATGGTTTCAGAAAAGCATTTAGAAAGACCTTCCCGTTTATTGCACAGCGGTATAAAATATGTGGCGGGCCAGCCGATGAATACGTAAGTCAAGTTGGATTAAATGAACGACCGACTGAGCAAACTAAAGCCTCTATGAATATTGTAAATATGGAAGAAAGAAAATTAATGCAGACTGACTTGTAAGGATTGAATACTGGATAGTTGTGAACCAAATAAAGTTATCGTGTCATTTATTGATTGATTATTTCCCTAGGATTACAGTAGACGTTGATACTCTAGTGCTTTAATAGACTTGATAAAAAGTAAGAATTGTCATCGAGTTCAATCAATTGTCCAAACTGATATATTGATGTACAATTTCCTCGACATTCAGCTGAAGAAAGATGTCGAATAACGTATTTATTCCTAGGTAAAGAAACTATTATCATTAATTAAGTGTATATCTTATCTTTGAAAACACATATTAATGTTGTAATTTGCAAAGTTTTATTTTTCCGAAATGTAAATGACTTTGTATGTTTAACTCATTTTCTGTTACCACATATGAATATCAACATTTATATCATAATATTATATTTTATACACTTTGTGACAATTTATAGCTGTACCATTTAAATTGATTTCCGAAAAATCACCCTTCACCCGTATGTTTGTTTGAACGTTAGAGCATTTCATGATCATATTATTATAAATATATTCATCAACTTTTTGTTAATAAATTGCTTAACTTGCTTCTTCCATTACGTTGGTAAGATTTCTTGTACACTTCTTTTTCTTATCTTTACCTTGGTAATATTGCAAGCTTATTTCATTTCGAAAGCATCATTTGCGATAAGGAATAATAACTTAATATATGTTAATCGATGTGAACATTAATATCAATCAATTGAGAAACATACAAAATAAACAATATTACAAAGCACAAATAATAAAATTCAATTTTATTTAAAAAATAAAAAATCACCAATTTTATTTCAAAACAATGTCTTATCAGATATTAAGATACGGCACATATTTCAATCATAGGCTTATGGTAAATATGTGAACATAAAGGAAAATAAAAACCGGTATATTAAAACCTCAAGTTCAGAATGGAGATGTTCAAACTTGCATGTATTATAATCGGTCAACATTTTAGGTTTAAGTGAAGTTCAAGTTAGTAATACAATTTATTTGAAAACTGACAATATCTGTACAATCAATTAATTAATGTGATATTATAACAATCAACGTGTATAAAGTCAGTGAACAGGCAAATGTAAATAACTTGACATTTTGTTATTATTTCCTATAAATCTCACGTGACCAAATCGAATTGGAATGAATACCGTTCAGAATGCATCGGTAGTGAAAGTTTATTTCTTTAAATGAGTAGGGGAAGTCTTATATTATTTAGTTCGTTTTTTAAATTGTATTATTAATATTTTTTCAGTTATTGGTTACAGACCATTACAATTGTTAAACTTTTGAAATATATTAGTATATAAACTCAATTTCGTAGCGACAAAATGGGCATAATCCCACTTTAAATAAACACAAATTTGTTTCTGTCTTAAATTATACCGTATTTTAAATCTATTTACTTTATATTTTTTCATAGAATTTACAAGACGAGTAAGTTACGTTCGTTAAGAAGAGCATAAAAATATAGTTTGTGTCTATAGTAGTTTCTCAACTCAAATACTGTTTTGACAATTTGAATTCGATGGAAAATACTTTATAATATCCTATTTATTTATTTAATATTGTCTTCACTGAAACCGGTTGCGAAACTTAATTCTTTCCGTCCAATTTACAATTAGTTTCTAGTTATATCTAAATTCCTATTTATATATATGTTAGATCATGTTCGGAGACAAGTATCCGGTTACATTTTAACTTTGCCAATACATTCAGGTATTGAAATTTTATTCAAGACTTGTAGCAAAATGATATGTATACGGAATTATTTAACTTTTCCTGTTGATTTGTAAATAAACAAAACATAACTATAGTACACACATTGCTTTATTTAGAATTATTTGTACATTATTAGTGAGCTGAAACGACACGATGCTACCTTATCCGTAATCTGTGTAACATGTGTATGTGTCCTCTTATCAAATTATGACTTGCATTGAACCTGTTCGTTTTCAGATCTTTAATGTAAAGTTGACATTTTTCACACCTTTTTCTTACAGTCTGTTATTTGATGGATTTTGTTTCAATAAAAGAACTTTGCTTGTTATTGTGTAGCTTTGCTATTAATACGAAACAAGATCATTTAATAAGTTATTAAAATGAAACATCGTATTATTTTTTAGTTTTGTAAAAGCATCTGTGCTCAATACATCTTCAATATGAATTCACGGTTTACATGACTTGTATACATGCTTGCATACATGGCTTCGTGTAACTGTCTCTTGATACTTTCTGAGATATATTCACCAGAGAGCTGGCAAGTGTTCATCCTTTCAGCTTCAAAGCTTAAAACATGTCCGATTGGATGTTATATATCTAATTCAACAAAATGCTGTATCATAGCTGAGAAACATGTTCATTTCAAATGTATTTGAACTAAATTTTATACCCAATACAAGAGAATGCATTAATTGCAAATTATGATTCAGAAACTTATAAGTTGTTAAATCCTTAAAAAGGGCAATCATGCGTTTTTATGATGTTTAAAGAATAGTTTTAGAGCTTGTAAGATGACTTTCCTGAAGAAAGTAGCCCTGAATATGAAATTATTTGTCACAAAGCCAGCAAAAGTGGTATTTTGTCTTCCTTACAAAATACTAAATAACTAAATTTAAAACGGAACTAATTGCCAAAACAGAGCAAAGGATAGTTATTGGTCATGTGAACTTTAAGGAAACAATAGAAGGACGTAACAGAAAAAAATAGTTTTTGGACATGGAAATAAAAGCATTCCTGGGCCATAATAAGCCTTAAACTGGAGAATATGGGACCAGACAACAGAACCGAATTTACCGTACAACAAGAAGTTGGCAAAACAGATCTGATCTGTGAAGGTTGAATAAGAAAAAATAAACATTCTTATTTTTGAGACTGAGTTTCTCTCACAGAAATTCATAAACATTCATTTTCCAGAGCCGAATATATGTTTGGCCATAGTGCAATAATTTGACTTTGTGGCAGATTTAATTTACACATTCGTATGTCAAATTTTACATTTTCGAACATAAGCAGTATACTTGTTTAGTATATACGCCAATTTAAACACTTCTGTGGTCATATATTGGCGGTCGGTTCATATTATCGGCGCCCAACACTGTGAAGGTCATACGGCGTCGTTCCAGCTAAGCTGGAGGAGGAAGACCTCAGGTGTCCATTATTTATTGCATTATTTTAGGCATGAACGTAGAAAAGTCACCAAGAAATCGAATTCTCCGCAAATGACCAACAACTTCAAACAGGTGATTTTTTTAATCAGGGGCGACAGACAAGTGTCAATAAGACTTTTTGCTGAGTCCTGTTGGGTTAGCTTTTATCAGAATACCGCCATTCCTAGTTGATCTTGTTTGTTAAATTTGATATTCGCGAGAAATTGACAAGTGGTAATATCGTACTGCCTTGGAGTCGGATTAGCGCCAATTAATAACAAATCAAATGATTTCCCTATTAAGCTTAGAGGGTGTAAATTACAAAACAAGTTTTAGAAGGCAGTGTCAAATCTTTATACATATACACAACGGACTTTTCAAGAATGAATTATTACGTAATACATACAAAGGGGGTATTTACAGTTGTAACTTTATGTACAACACATTTAATACTGTTACATCTAATCCCTATCCCTATCTAATGATAGATCGATAACATTTGTTTAAAAAAACACGTTCATATTAACAACATTACTGTCAAAGTGCCAATAAATAATAATAATAACAGAAAAAGGGTAAAACAGAAAATGCGTGTAATCTGGTGAGAAGAAAAATGAATATTGCAACCATGATATTAAGTGAGATCTTTGATTTAACCTCTCGTTGGTTTGTTATTTCAATAAACATAGGTTAATTATAAAAACATGAACCTTGGATATTTTGAACATTATCGAGAAATACATCAATACATAATATCTTAATTATTTCATTCGAGCATAAAAGAGATTTCGTTATTCTTATTTAAGCTGACACATTTTTAATTACTATTTTCACCACATAACGTGGTTTGTATTATACTTATTTAGTGATAATTTTGTTTCGTGAAAATGAGTATATTTTATTATCATGTCTATGTCATAATTCAATTATTTAACAGTAGTATGTTAATGTACAATTAATTAAGTTTATACAAATTGAAATTTTTTCTTCGCTTGAGTCTCATATGTGTATACAGATTCAATGGTTATCCTTAGACTAAATATTAAGCCAAATATCACAGTGAAAAGCTTGAAGGGTATTGTACATTTTGACATTTCTAGCATTGCGAAAATTACTTTTGCGAGTCCTAGACAAACGTCTTATACTTAGCCTGTAATTTGGAAGAAAGCATCCTGTTTTCCAGATATATAATTCGTCTTGCTTTTTAGCCTAAAGATTATTATTTCAACAAAAAAAAATCATTTACAGTAAACATCTTTTTGTTCATTTTTCCAAGAAACAGACAAAAAGTAAAGTGACATTTCATATAAAAATATTGTTTACATCTTCTTCGTTTTGTTCATTGAAATATTATCACATAGAACATTTAAAGACAAACAAATTATAATATAACGACTTTAATCCCTTAGACAGAGACAAGGGTTTTTTATGCAAGTTTATTTTTATTTTTGAACAACAATTATCTTTGAAAATGATAGTTTTAAATTTTGGTTAACCATTTGATATTGTGTTGGTTTAATACAAGGGGGAAAAATTTTCCAATATAATTTTTTAAAATTTAAAAACCTAAATTTTAAGGGAAAAAGAGCACAAAAATTTTGGGGAAAACGGAAAAGAGGCAAACTAACAGTATTCAACATTTTTAATGTCTTGACATAACAAAATTTATACTCATTTTTCAGTATTCGAAAAAATTTAAATTTTTAAAAAAATATGTTTAAAGATTTAAATTTTAACCCCCCAAAATAGAGACAACAAAAAAATTTACTAAACATAAGAAAATTATTTTCCATTGAAAAAAAATTTAAACACTTTTTTGCCCCCCAAAGACTTTTCTTTTTTATTTTTGAAAAAAACCCGCTTAACAAGGGGAAAAAAAAGGAAGTTTTTTCAATACTCAAAAATCTGGAAAAAAGAAAAATTTGATATTCTTAATGATGCGATGATATGGATAAAGCATACCCATGGGATTTGTCTTAACTATCAATGTACCCGTAAGTGTTGTATTCTCATTATGTAGCTTATGTTAAAGATATGGTTGATAAGTAATACATTTTTGTGGAAGATAAAATATGATTAATACGTTCTTTCTAATCGTTGCTTTGAGGACTGATATTGAAACAGCAAACTGATTGATACGGATTGACTATCGTACAGGGATAATTTTTATCGGAGTATACACTAAAGTAACTTCATAATGATAAAAATGTATGTTTATACAACATAATTATAGAAATAAGATAAACTTATTAATCATGTATAACATCCAAATAAAAAATTAAAGAAGTGCAATTTGTTTTGATTAAAGTTTTCTTGTGAATAAAAAGAAATGCATTAAATAAAACTATAAAAATTTAAAAAGATATATTAAGCAAATGAATTTACATTTGCATTATCTTTACAACAATTGTAATATAGAAATTTTT